CCCGGGGTTCGGTCGTTACTGCCGCCGTTCGAGGGAGGGAGGGAACGTTTCAGGTCGCCGGGGAGCCTGGCGATGCCCGGCGCGCACCGAGGCGCCCGGTGCTCGGGCCGGGAAGGAACTCGCGGGGGATCCCGGGCCCCGCGGCACACAGCCCCCTTTCAGCCTGTTTGTCACCGGGTTCGGTGTCCCTCACTCGGGTCGGGCGTCCTCGAATAGTATTTCCTTGCTGAAGTTTAAGATTCGGGGTTGGGGAGGAGAGTTTCAGCTTCTGTTGTGGCGTCTTTTCTTTTCATGGCTGTAAGTATTTCCAGATGGGGATTTAGACACCAGACGTAACAATATTTCCATATTTGGTATAGCAGTAGCCTGCATTTTTCACATTTTTCTGCTCTGTTATCCAACCACAAAGCATTCTTGACAGCTTCAGATGTTGTTAAATATAGCCTTAACTTCTGTTCCCAGGGCAGGAAATTCTTTGGAATTCCTGTTTTTCACGCAATCTATCATGATTTAGGAGAATTGCGCTGGAGGAGCCAACTGGCGTTATACTGCAGTTCGCTCCTTTCTTGAAAAAAGCCCAGCAGTTGAGTCTGCTACCCAACGGCGCTACAATAAGTCCCCATTCCAGGGATTTTTCTTTGCAAATGAGATTATTGTTCCTAACACAAGTTTGGGGGGGGTAGCGGGGGGGGGTCGGTCGCCTTCGAGGCTGGAAGGTGGAGGAGCAGATTCAGGGAGGCGAAACTTGGCAAAAAAACCTCCAGAAAGCCCGTGAAAAGCGGGGAGGGGGGAGGGGGCGAGGGAGACAGTGGCGAGGGAGGGGATGCGAAGAGGAGGGGGATGCGATTAACCTGTCTGCGTAGCATTTCCATACAGTAAGTGTCTGTGCGCGCCGCTCGTCAAGGATGGGCATTTGGGGAGGGGACGCAGCAGCAGCAGCCCCGCTGCTCGGAGGAGCGAAGCCCAGGACGCCTCGTCGCCCGGCCGGTGCCGCAGCCGAAAGGGTTACAGCGAGGAGCGTTTCACGGGGACCGAGCGGGGACTGCGCGCATGGCTGCGGGTAAGTCCTGCTCCCGCCGCCGCTCCCTCTGCGCCGGGGGCCGGGGGACGCCCGTGCGTGCGTGCGCCTCTCTGTGCGTGTGTGTGTGTGTGTGTGTTGTGTTGTTCCGTGTTTCAATAGCAGCAGGAATAATAAGGCAGCCTTGTTGGACCTTGCCGGAGCCGCAGAAAAGGGGGTTTGTTGTCGTCTTGGGAGCGCTTGCTCCTGGACGCGGCTTTGGCCGGAGGAGTGCGGCGGGGGGACGCTGCCTGCCAGGGAGGCGCAGGCGACACAAGAAGGGGTGCGCACAATGGGGCCCCTGTCTTCGGCCGAGCCGAGCCGAGCCGGGCGGCGGCGGCAGCCTGCAGCCTTACGGCGGACTTGCCAAAAACATACACCGTTTTGTTCCCCTTCCCCGGCGCGCATCTTTCTCTGAGCGGCTCCAGCCC